GTAGTGTAAATCCTCCAAAATCCTTCTTTAATTTTCACAGGATACCCGCCACTGATGAGCGGAAGCCTGTCTGTGGTAAGTCTCCTCTCATATCCCTCTATTACATTTCAGTGTTGCAATAACAACTGATACTTAATGCAGTTGTTAGTTATTCAGAGTAATCTGTGAGAAGTAATCTGCAATGACAAACATTTGCCTCTGTTTGAAAGTCCACTGGAAATCAGAAGCTGCTGGCATTCTCCAAGTACATCTATGATGGACTGGGAGAGCGCATCCGCTTCAGACAGTTTGGACTCTATGACAATAAGACCTACCACCTTGATGTGCTTCTACTGTACAGAGAGGTAGCGACGGCACAGCAGTAATATTTGCATTCAAGTTTATCCTGGATACCATAAATGACTGTGTAATGGTGCCCTGTCCTCTAGGGTGTTATGTACAAAATAAACAACAAGAACCGCACATGCACTAAGCAGCATCTGAGCCCTGACTTCCACCCGCTGGCAGTTCCGAGAAATGCCACCCTGATGGGCCAGTTTGTGTTAGGCGCCTCCTCTGGTCCTGGACAGGGAGTCCTGGTCAACAGTTGGTACGGGGAGCAGAAGATGAAGACGGGATCAGGTACAATAAGAGGAAATCAAAGCGAAAAATTGCAAAGTCATGTGTTAGTTTGTAACACATGAAATTCTCTTACATAAGCTTGTGTTGATCACAAACAAACCTGCTTGTCTGGTTGCGCTGCCTCAGCTCCCATGTGATCCACTTCTTGTTTCTGCAGCCAAGTACTTTACCACCGTCACCCAGTTTGGATGCATCCCCGTCAGTACTCTGTACCACACCAGCAGCGGTGACTGGGTGGTCAACAGGTCAGTGGGCAGAAGGCTTTTAATATTGTTCTAGAACTTTCATGCATGTTTCCAAAACTATTTGTCACGTTGCGTTTTTTCCCTTAATATTTGCCAGTAAACACTGAACTGGGTCCCTGAGTAGGGCATTGCCTTTTTCTCACACTCTAAAGTCTCCGAGAATCTGTGATCCTGGTTGAAGAAAACTGTTGGCATCCTCTGATTCATTTTGCTTCATTTTTTTTCTGTTTTTCAGCTTCTATAACAATGTCATTGGATTAGTCGATCCCCAAAAACTCAACCCGCCATTTTTCTGCATGAATGCTGAGCAGGGGGATGAAGACGAGCCAGTAACATTTCTCAGCTTGTTTAAAAAATGATTTTACAAATGGTGGTGACAATGATGATGATGATGAGTCACTGAAGTGCGTTGCTGCCATTCATAAACAAGCTTCATTTGGTTAAAATTCATGCTAATATTTAATCAGAGTATTTTCATACATATTTTACATTCATCAGATTGAGCAGCGTTTCCTCTAAAATCTATTTTTAATCACACTGTTTCTATTTTTTAATATTTTCCCACAACAGTTTATTGGTTAAATTCGTGTTTTAACATTTATGTCATAAGAAAATAAAAACAAATTCAGAAAAGTCGAGCCTGATACTTTGTTCCTGATACTTTTTTCACTGATCTGTACAAACAGCAGTAGGAGTGTGGCAATAATCAATACTCACAGACTAACAACGCAAAGATTAAAGGCCACTGGTATGCCCCAGGGGGTGGCATGTTGGCAAAGTTCAGGAGTATCACACCAAAGAAGATCCTGAAGCTGAAGAAGCTTTTTGTCATTCCCACTTCAAGAAGGCTTCAAATGAATATTTTAACCTCACACCTTCCACAACAAAACTGGACAAATCGAGAAATAAATCTATTGGCATACATTCTGCTACTTTCCAGATGTTGCAGAGCATGGTGTAAGGGTATTGCTACACCGCGTCATCCACTGATTGACTGGGTTGGTAAACAAACTGAGGGCTATCGGCAGTGTCTTGGGCCATGTGGTTGATGTGTGTGAGAACCAGTTTTTCGAGGCATTTCATGGCAATTGATGTGAGTCCCACTGGCCTGAAGTCGTTTAAGGTGGACATGTCCGGTCTTTTGGAGACTGGTATGATGGTGGAGGATTTGAAAATACACGGGACTACTGCCTGACAGGTTGAAATTCATAATGCATTTGCAATTAAGGCACACTGTTACCTCCCAACAAGCATCCCTCATCATCATTTCTTTGTGGCGTTTCTCTCTGTGTGTGAGTACTCCAGCTTCTTCCCACAGAGGCATGCGGGTCAGTGGGGTTAGGTTGTTTTGCCCATAGGTGTGAGCGGTTGTGTTTGTGTTAGAGAGACACCTTTTCCACCCACCCACCCTCCCAAAAAGCTAGAATTGGAAAAGTGGAAGAAAATCGATGACCGAACGACATTTGTAATGTATTATGTAAAGCTGCAAGTTATTTAGATATTTCTCATAAATAAATCTGAGTAACATAATAAATAATAAAATAATAATATCTGAATGCGGGAGATCCATCACTGCCAAAAAATATTAATTTGATTGGACACCATTAATGTGTCTAGCTGATGTTTTTTCTTCCCTTTTCTTTCTTCCCTATTGTAGCGCACTGTAACTTTGGCACTTTGTACCTTGAGCGACTCTTCTGTTTACAAAGAGGAAACGAGCGTTGTGGTCGCAACCTGGAAAACACACTGCCACAACATCACAACAACTTTGCCTACTTATCTCTCTATATATAAGTTAGATATATATAGAAGTACTTCCATAATATGATCGCCCAAAACTACTGGGCTTTAAACATTACTAACGTGTACCTAAAACTGCCGTCTCCAGGCCTGGAAATGTTTCTACTCTACTCTGCATGTCTTTTAAATATTTCTCTAAAAGAGGCACATGTGTGATGCAAGTATAGAGAACATTTACTTTGCAAATTGTATCACAGTGTTGTGTTCTGCTGGATGGGATTAAAATCCTGGATGCTGGCTGCCTGCTGGCCACTAGATGGCAGTGTGTGACAAGTAATGAAAGAGAGAGACTTCCAAATCTATGCAACTCAAACATGAAACACTGATTTACAGTTCAGAGATGATATTACACAAAGAATTATATTAATGACAATTGTGTTGTATTATTTTATTTATTTATTGGAGTAAAAAGTTACAGTTATAGAGCAGGGTGAGGGGTCACCTGGTAGCAGTAGTAATGGATCCCCCTTAGCTCTCCAACTTCCTGCACCCCAACATCTGCGGTCATCACTCCCGGATCCTGTGCAGCCGTCTCCAGCCAAATTAGCCTGGAGTCAGGGTCCTCATCAGAAAACTGGAGCAAGGACCCTGAACTCCGCAACACCCTTAAACACTGCTTCAAGACCAGGCTGGCATTTCGCTTCCCCTCCCTGGACCTTAACAAGGCATCAGTGGTCCCCTTGTCAATTATAAGGTCCACAGTACTGGGACTGAAGCGTTTATCAAGCTGTGTGCAGTCCAGCTCTACAAACTCAATTTGAGAAGAACAGCTGTGAGGTTGAATGGCTTTAGCTTGAGTGTGTTCCTGCATTAGTTTCACAGCTATGGGGGAAATGTCAGCACAAGTGACATGGACGGAGACAGGAGAGTGCCTGTAGATAGAGGGTCCCAGTGCTGACGTACCACAGCCCATATCCACCACGTGGAGCGCAGCGTCTGGGCGAGACATAGTTTGCAAGAGGGGCATGATGAAGTCTCGGACAGAATCGAAACCAAAAAACCACTCAAAGTTTTTGAAGGTGGCTTTCCCGCTGCTGGTCTCGGTGTAGAAGCGGTCCCAGGTTGCTTTCTTATCCATGTTTTCAATCAGTTCAGCTACAGTGAAACAAAGATGAGACACAGGAGTTATCAGTAATACACAAAACATCGGTTATTTTAGCATGATCATGATTGAGCTCTTTTCTTAAGTTATAAATAGACACTAATAGTTTCTTTTGAGGAAGTTCCCTCAACTTTAATGTGATTTCCAAGTTTATACAACAGCAGTGTGTATAAGATACATTTATTCATTGCTGATATTGTTGTAAAGATGCACAAAATCTTTCAGTCAAATCCATGTGATAAACATGCTTTACCGTTTGGTTCAGCTTTTCGGAAGCTGCAGTTTATGATGTTGTACTGACAGGTGTTTGACTAAGTGTTGCCCACCCCAACTATAACAGTGAGGGGGGGCGCAGACACACTGCGGCTACGATTACAGACTTAAAGCACATCTTTCTACACAGCTACGATGACCTTTAATGGGCTTTAATGTGTAAACTAGCAGCCGACTGTACTATAGGACTACCTCGTGGTACAACTGCTTTTTTCAGTGAATACGTCACTAGCCTGCACCCCAGTTACAGCAGAGACCTTCGTCTCTGTGAATGGCTAAGGTGTTGTAGCTAGTTAGCTTAGTCTGCAGTCACGTGTAGCATGAAATGTCATTAACACGTTTCAGTCAGGCTAGCCTGATATTAAAAAAAATACAACATGTTTATACATACCAGTTAGAGAAGAATGATACCGCAAATAAGCCCCCAAAACTCTTCTGCCGGACAAAAACGACTTTAAAAACGGAGACATCTTTGCCTTAGTTTCACTCTAACCTTTAACGTAAGAGTTCTCACTTTGGTATTTTTTCTTGGTACCAACAGGACTCAACGTCCATAAAATGCTAAAGAGCAAAGTATTTGCTACGTTATAGACGATCTTTGGTTCGGTTATGCTGCAGTGACGGAACTGCGCATGTGTGTGAGTACAAGCGTAAACAACATTCACCCACTTAACCATCCTGTCAAAAAGCAGCTGTCCATGTACATCACTGACATCTGTATATTGAAAACTACATATCAAACTCTTTCTAGGAAACCAAAAACCTTTTAACATGTACGTTTTCTCTTGTAGGTCATATACAACTTCATACTGTATAGTCCCATATTCTTCTTTCTCCTCTCCCTGCAGGAATAATGCAATAATGCTTTCAATTCAAGCATGGTTATACCAGGTTCCTACAGATGGATGCAGCACAGTACTGACATCAAATATGCATCAACGTGCAGTGTTGTTTACACAAAAAGACTTAGAACGTTATTCTCAACTTTCATTATTTAACTGAAAAACAAAAATCATACTGACACAAGAAATAAGATGTAAATTGCTTTAATAAAACTCAATGAAACGCAGTGTAACAAAGGAAAAGAAACAAACAAAGCAAGTAGATAACATTTACAACCACAAAAGAAAAAAAAACCCTGTACAACTCTAAATGGTTGGAGTCACTTCTATATTTCCAAAGATTTTTTTTTTAAATTTAATCGTTTTGTCATGACTGAAGGTAAATTTGGGAGTTTGGGGCAAGAAGGGCAAATGAGGCAAGTAATGTGATTTTCTCTCTCTTTTTCGTTTTTTTTCCAAATACACGAGTGTAATCTCATACACAGATGTATGTTTCATCAGCATGGCTGCTGGTAGGATTTCTTGAATGCGCTGCTGCGGCACACAGCAGGAGATTCATGAGATGGGCTGTGGCCAGGAGTGCTATTTGTACAAGATGTCGTAATGGCCAGGTCTATAGAGGAGGAAGATGCGGGGATCTCCGCCTTCGGGAAAGACGTGGTGATTGACTGTTCCTCCCTCTCCTCTATCCATGTACTCCACCAGAATGGATACGTCCAAGGCCTGAGCTAAGGCGATGATGTGAATGTGGTCACTTTCTTTAGACATTGGCTCTACCTCCTTGGAAAAAGAGAAGAAAAAAGCACATTAAGTGCGAGTTTCAGACAATAAAACGTGTTTTTTATACCAGAATGGCAAACAGTGTACATTGACTCTTGTACATTATATTTAAATTTAAAAGCAGGAAAATGATTATCTACGTAGGGAAAACCTTCACCTGCTGGCAGAACTCCTTGACAGTGCGCCCACCCTCTATGAAATGCTGAAAGAAGGTATGCTGTCGCTGCAAGTAGCCTGAGGTGAGCAACCGCAGGTACACCACCACATAGTCTGATACGTTCTGGTCATTGAAGGAGCTCAGCAGCTCCTGCAGGCTCGGCTGTTTCTCACATAGTTCAATCAGGTCCATGAACTAGCAAGAAAAACAAGATTTACATATTTAGACTCATGTACTCAGGCCTCAGCTTGCCAACTTTCTATTTAACTGGCCAAAACACGTGCTCTGGCCATCTAAAATTGGCTAGTCAATAAGGAAAAATCATTTGCACCTTAACCAACATAACAAATTATATGCTGTCAGTCAGGTTGAGGGTTTTACACCTCTTCTTTTAAGCTTATTTACTACAACAAAAATGCAAAATAAAAAAACAGACAATAAAACAAAAGTATCTAACTAGATGACATCCATTTGCATTTGCAGCAACTTCACAAAAATAGTCATTTAGGTTTGCCAGAATACTCACAGTATTGTGAAAATCTTCAATAGTAAACTCAGTGAAACCTTCGTTAACCAGATCCAGTTTACTTTTAGCTGCAACTGCTTTGAACCTGATGAGACAAAATGTGTATTTAAAAAGTAAAAAGTGTAAATATTACAGCCGCCTATGTGCTTATCTGAATTTTAAAATATTAAAAAAAAACAGAACACAGTGTACTGCTCACACACACTCATGCATCTGATGAACAGACAGAACAGCAGCAGAACGCATTTAAATCGTCTGAGATGATGATGAAGTGTGAATTTGAGTGTAGACACTAACAGCCAGCAGAGCACACACAGTAACCACTCTGGCACTCACCTCTGAAGTTCTTTGCTGTCATCTAGCAGGGACTCGAGATGTGCAAAGCCAAAGGCTCTGTAGAAACAGTTTCCATCTGGTCGCGTCTTGCGAATGTACGAGTATTTTTTATGCAGGTCCTGTAATAACAATAATTTTAAAAAAATCTGTAAGACCAGATCCAAAACAGTTTTTGCGAATTTAAACAGAGAAACTTTGGATTGACATGTGGCTGCAGTAACCTGAGAGGCGCTGCGCTCTGACTGACCTTGATCTTGAGCTGATAAACCGTGTCATCCTCAGCGTACTCGCTCTGCAGTACCGACAGGTCCTGTCTGTCTGACACTAAAGGGTTACTGTTGGCTATCTGCACAACCACACACACAAAATTGCAAATTAGTCATTGCAATCCATCTCAATACTTGTTTTTAGACTTTTTATTAAACAGTACGTCAGTGATTATGCATAAGTGACATTTCTTTTTATGCTAATCATAATCTCACAGCTGTGCACATAAAGCCTGTTACAGGTCAAGGTCAGTGTAATTACTGCACAGATAGAGTCTCAAAGAAATGCATCTCATTTGTGTTCAGAGTGCAAATGATGCTTTTATAGCCCTGTCCACATGTCATCTGAGATTTCTGAAGTTGTAACTGTAAAAAAAACAAATAAAAAATAAATAAATAAAGACAGTGGAATGTGGAAATTTGCTCATCCGGATCCCGAGAATAACACAAAGTCATCTTTATTTCTTTTTGCTGTCCACACTAAAGGCTTTCTTACCTCCTGCTGAATCCGGTCCTGTTGAGCAATTATGGCCTCATCATATGCTAGGCAGTTCACTCCTGTAAGAAAAGGGTGACATATTTAAGAGGCTTCAGGAGTAGAGTAGCACTTAAATGACATACTGACCGACATGGAGGATGGTGAAGCTGTGGCATTGGGATTTTAACTGCACATCAGACTAGAAGCACTATTTGAAACCGCAGTGTTCCAGTGATGCAAGCTGTGTACTTTAGATTTACAATACCATAAATGTAGTAGCATTTATGGTGCTATATACAGACAATAGCACTGTAACAGTTCTGAAACTGAGACTGAAACTGCCCTACAAACATCTACAGTATCAAAGCACAACTCCATCTTCCCAAACTGTGCAAGCTGTATGGAGGTGTTAATGTTTTGTCAAAAGATGCTAGTCCGAGAAAACTCTAATGTTTAAAAACTGATTAGGTTAACGTCTTTAGTAGAGGGACCCTAATGTGATCTACTGCCCAGATCTGTGGTTTAAAAAAATGAAAAAATTGAAAAAAGTATGAACTGAAAGCTAGTTCCAGCTTTTAGTGTTTCAGAAAGTTAGGATGCAAGCATTTGCTACTAGGAAAACAACTGTTGCACAAATTCAATATTTGGATTGGATATTGATCAGATACCAACCGTGAAAACTGGACCGGCTATCAGTGATAACGAGCCAGCCCATTCGATTCATTTCTGTGTTGCTCTGTGTTTACTTTGCCACGTGTATCCTAGGGCTGTTTTCTTTTATTTCACTAACAAATACCAAAAATTTTATAGAATTAATTTATTTATTCATTCCTTTTTAGTTTTTTCAAAGTTAGGAAATGTTTTAAGTTGAGTCTAGTGTTTCCTGAAACATAAAAGAATACTTTCTAGTGTCTTGCTCACATTGATATAGATTATTCATTTAAAACCGGTATCCTATTGCTAGTCAGTATTAGCAGATAGCAAAGCTAAGGTATCGGTATTGGATGGGATTCAGAACAAGCCTATTTGGGCCATCTCTGACAGCATTCACTTTTACAATTGGTGTGTTTAAGCAGATGTGACCTAGTGACACTGTCAGTGTACCTGCATTGCACCTGCAATGCTGTGTGACAATGTAATACCCAAACAAGCCAGGGACTAAAACTGAAATAACTTTATATTACTTGGTTATTCTAGGATATTTTTAAAAATGCCTAGCTTGGATTTAGCAATCACAATTAAATGCGACTACATTATCTTGGATGTAAAAATAAATAAATAAACTTGATTACCCGTAATACAGTGTAGGAAAGGAACTAGTTTCTTAATAAAAGTAACGGCACCAGGTCCTGCATGTCGTTTTGCTTTAAAGGTTTGTCTTTTGTCAAAAAGCCCTTTTAGCTCGGTGTTTTCCTTCTCACTGGCGAAACCACTGATTTCGTTATAATGCCAGACAGCTGCATGTAAACAAAATGTAATAAAATCTGGAATAAATCAATTGAAAAACACACACTTCCCCTTTCCGTTTTCATCACCTGCCGACACCAATAAGCAAACAAGAACGCGTTTAGCCCTTGGTCAGCATTTAACATGAAAACAAGTTAACCTACAAGCTAACGTCAGTCAGCTAAACTTGGCTAGCGCGACTTGTGCGAAAACAAAACAAATTTTAGCCACGACGACAGTCGCAGTTTTACAAACTAAAAATACGACGTCTTTTCTTTAATATTAAGTACACGTTTTAAGCATTTCCAAAAGTCAAAACCTCTGGAACTGTCACTCACTGCTGCCCTGACATTAACTAAACAAGCTTTTTTTTTCTTTGTGTAGCAGTGGCAGCTAGCTAACGTTAGCCCAGAAGCTCTGGCCTCTGTGCCCCTCACCGCTGCACATCAGCCAGATTCAGCACGGAGGAGGTAACGGCTGAAACGCTTAACAGATGCTCGTGTGAATAAGAGCTTTGTTTAGAAGAGAAATGACAGCGCACTTTGCTTGACATTTGTTGGTGTAACTGTTTCTCTCACCCTCCATCTCTCCCTGTGATGACTCTTGCTGCTCCTCCGCCATCTTAGCTGTTGAGATCGGTTTCCTCCCTCCGCATGACATCACTCGTCGCACACTTCCGAGCGCAGGCCAACGGTAAACTTACTTTATTTACTTATTTATTTATTTATTTATTCATTCATTCATTCATTCATTCATTTAGTTGGTGGGCAACCTTTTCGCATGAATAATGACTTTGTTAACAAAGCTAAAGCGTCGTACGAGGCTTCCAGTACATTCCATTGGCTGACGTTTTAACAGAAAATGATGCATTTATTTATATAATTACAGTATTATACCATATTTAATATACCTTTACTTCTTTATTAATTAAAAATTTTAACTAAAATGAATAGAATATTTGGTAGTGTTGTCAAAGGGTTCGTGTTGTTGCTGGGATATAAAAAGCCCTCCACGCCATTATAACAGGTTTCTTTTCTGAGGGTCAGGCAGGATTATGAGGCAGGTGAAGTGTGCAGTCCTTCCACAAAACCATGGACCCTCACAGACCTGTACAGTCACTGGTTTGGGGGTAATTTGTTTAATTGCAAACATGGGGAAGGTTATGCACTAATTCACTCTAAAATTAGAAGGGCTAAGGAGTTAGCAAATCCCTGCATAAGTTAGTTCTAAATGGCTTGTTTTTATTTATTAAGTTAGTGGCTGTTCTTTAATATCTGTGATGAAATACCACAAACAATTAGTTTTGTACATTCATCCTCTGTGATTTTGAGTTGGCCCTTTCCTGTCAGTATAAAGGTGTTTAACTGCACACACCGCACTGTATTAGAGAAAGCAGAGCACTTTCAACAACATATCTAAATATAAATACATAAATATAAGAAATCTCTTGCGTCTCTCTTTGGGCATACATTTTAAGAAATAAAAGTGTCAAATTACATTTCTAAAAAAACACTGGTAGCTCATTCTCCAGTCTGCCCTGTTATTACAAAACAAAGTTTTTCTTAATTCACAGGAAACATCCTGTTTTTTAGATTTATTTATTTATCTTTTTTGTTTTGTTTTGTTACTATGGATGAAAAAAAGAGACATTTTGATAGTATCAGAATCAGTAGTTAAAAAAAATAACAGAAAGGGTCCTGCCATCTAATTGTTTATCTATTAGTTTTGATGCATGAATTTCCATAAGGGAGGGGAAAACATTAAGATGCATGGAAAAATTAAACTCCATCATATTTTTCATAGCTGTCCAGTGGTCCGAACTGGAGTCTTTACCAGACCGATTTATGTTTGACACCCTTGCCCAACAGTTCTCTTAGGAAAACCCCAACAATCAAACAGGCGCATATGAGTAAGCACTCTGTGACAGTGGGGAGGAAAAACACCCTTTTAACAGGAACAAAGTAGCCTTGAGGAAGGCTGCCACTCCTCCTGCTGTGCCTGTGGTTTGAGGACTCTGACAGTTAGCATGACTCAAGGGGTGCTGATTCATTTAAACATATTCATCCTGTTGCAACCAAGATGACTACATTAACTCTGATGAAGCAATTGGATATATGGACAATGCACAGTGATAGAAGCCACTGGACAGGAACTAAAAATATAGTAAATTATTCAGTGGCCAAGACGTTTCTTTAAGGTTTAGTTTGCTACGATAACTACAACAAAAGAGCAAAAACTGTCGATATCCCAACGTCCCCGCTTTGAGCACCGCAGCCATCATTGAGGAGCAATGAAGATTTCTTCAAGTGAAAAAACCCATCTGATGTGATGATGAAGCTCCTATTACAAGGAGAGCCTCTGGGAAAGGAGACCAGAAGTCCCAGGAGCTGCAGTGAAAAGGTTAATTAGCCTCCTAATTCTGCAATTAACAGTACCTACTGAGCGAGAGCACTGAGACTGAAGAGGCAAGAATTGGCGTTAAACTTTATACATTTTTTGATTTCAGCTGTGAGGGCAGATGGGTTTAAATACCTGGGATCAACTGTGATGTATGATTTGGAGATGAAGTCGGGAGGTGGAGGTGGCAAAGATGTTCTTTGGGAGCAAGACCAAAGAGGGGGATTATGGATGAATTAAAGGAAGACATGCAGACGGTTGGTAGAGACAGACTGGAGCAAGAAAACTACAAAATGTAATAGTTTCTGTGCCTTCAGTTTTTTCTACAATATAAAAAATAGTTTAAAAAAACGAATGAACAGGGGTAACTAAAGTGCTGTACACCTGCACCTTTAGAAAAACCACATACATTTATTTCAACCCATCAGTACTAGCTGATAACCATCCAAAGCTCTCCAAATAATTAGAAATCCAGGCAAATGTCCAAAAAGATCATCTGGATCACAATCTTTCATAGTTGGTTAGTTCTGCAGTTTGTTGCCTCAGTCAGGCCCCTGCACTTTCCAGCAGTATACATCAGGGGGCACTGTCTGCAAATGCAACCCGCTTTCAGACATTATGGCTTCTCATTTGTTAGGTGCCACAAACTGTCCCAGCACACTATTTACACAACTAAAACAACATCAGACAAGTGTCTCGGAAAAAAGTCGTATTTACAGCAGATAACATAACAAAAAGGAAACAATACAATTATACAATTGTACAATAAAATGTATGTAACAAACAATATAATACTTCATATTTATCAGAATAGCAAACCTGTTATTTTTTTTCATGTTTTCCCTTTGGCACATTTTCCCCAATACTCATAACAGATATTTTAAAAAAAAATGTGTACACAGATAAACAATACATGTTTGGCTTTTATGCTGCAATCAAAGGCTGTAACATGTCCCTGTGAAACTCCTTTTGGAAAGACACGGTCCTCTTTTGGAGGAAATGTTCCAAACTGTACAGAAAGTCCATGTGTGGCAACCTTTTTTTTTTTTTCATTTCTATGATCTGCTTTGTGAGAATCCAGGAATACTTACAGACTCTGATCAATTCTAACTATGTTTTCCAAATATTTGGCAGCTTTTCCAGATTCCATTGACGTTGAAATTCATACTGTGTGTGTAAACATCGACAGACTAAACATAAATGCACTCTAATGTATTAAGTGTGCATGCTTCGTATATGCTTTTTTATCTCTAATCTTATATATGTATACATCAGTATGTTTGCAGTACACATGTACTATGTGCACGTGAAAGAGGCCACTGAGGCAGAAGGATGTGTGACCTGGCAGATGGATGCAGCACATTTTATTTGTTGTTGTTACTATGCTATGTCTTTGTTACTTCAGATTTAAGTATTACAGCTCTATTTCAAAGGCGTTTGTAGTTTTCTTTGTTTGGTTTTTTTGTTCTTTGTTTTTTTAAGAAAAGGGAGATCACTCGTGTATTTGTACAGATTTACAGATCACTACATGTAAGGGACATTAATCTTGTTTAGGCATTAAGGTTTCATCTGATTCAAACTGTCTCAGTGCCTACGGCGCCAGGACAGTAAGACAATATGAAGGTATGGTGGTTGCAGGTGTGGCCAGAGATGAACAAGCCAAAAAAAAATCTGGATCAGGTCCCAACCAATGTTGTGTAAGAGAATGTAACACAGGCAGTTACTCTTACACTCACCACAACCAAATCAGAAGTCCACCCTCAACACAGAGCTGTTGCAATCTCCTTTTTAGATTTACCGACTTTCCCACAGCCTTGTTTACTCCTCCTGTATTTCCTGGTTTTTCCACAACGAGTGCTTTCGATATCCCCTCATAAGCTCGGGCAGCTGCATTCACCTGTCACCTGCAGCTGCGTAGAGCAACAGCTGTGATGTGAAAGCTCAGAAAGGAATATCGTCGGTGATGATGCTGAATTAGCTGCACTGGAAAATGTGTGATATTGTCTTTAGTTTCCAGTAGCTCTGCAAACATTTGGGGAATACACCCAAACAGCAGGCAGCAATAAGAAATGCCCTAAAGATGCTTTGGAGTCAACCGCATCCACAAAAGCGGTGCAGTTCTGTAGTTTCACGTATTATTTTCTCACCAGCTGTTAAACTATTTGAGCCTTGTGGATTATAGAGGCATGGGGATTGACCGGATGGGGGCTTGGGATCCTTTTGTATTTTAACAAGCCATTACTGGGGTGGCAGGGCACGCTGTGACCCTCAGACACCTGAGAGCTGTTCGTCTCGCTGTCTTGATCAAAAGGTTGCTCTTGACTGGCAGGACCGCCCAGCCCTTCGTCCACTTCATCATCGTCGTCCCTTATGGGTGGGCAGGTGCTGCTCACGGGAGGGTGTTGGTGATTTTTGGTCATGCTTCCCAGTCGCAAACCCACATCCAGTGGGACAACGGGGCTGCCGTTCATCGACCTCAGAAAGTCGGGCGTTTGCATTCTCTGAGGCAATTGCGTGAGAGGAGGGTGGTAGTGAGTTTCCGGCTACAAAGACACAGAACAGATTTTGATTGCATCATCATCAGGTTAACTATGCAGTGGTTAGTAATATGGGGCCGAGGCATTCCACAGTTTGGCGAACTCAAGCCTTGACACGCACACTAAGACACACTTACCAAAGATAAAGAGCTGTTTTTCACATATCTCTCCACTCTGAGTCGGCTTTCCTCGTCTCTGTCCAGAGGCCTTTCTCTCCCCCTCCGGGAGTTGTTGTATATGGCTGGTCTGCCCAGAGAGTCATACGCAATTCCTCCACCCCGACTGCCTGAGATAGTAGATCGGCTATCACGGCACTGAGGCTGCTCCTGTTTATGGCATGGAAACAAAACACTAGTAACTATTACTCGACACACTGATTTGGTGCATAGATTGTAGCAATTCTATGCTCAAAACAACAAAATTGCTACAAACATTCTCCCCAAATTCACATAAAAAACACATTTTTTAAAGCATCCCTGATTATAGTTAGATCATTTACTTAAATGTATATTAAAAAAAAAGTGGTTTTAAAGCAATAGCTTAGCATTAACTGGGGGAATGTGCTGTCTTGCTGACAGATGAAAAAAATTGGTATTACTGTGTAATATCCCTTTAACCATTATAAAGCTAAACCTGGAAGTCTTCAATAAAGTCTTCCAAAAAGGAGTTGACATAATATTGATGCCAATAGTTTGATGTTAATTAAATTTTAAAAAAAATGACATAATTAGTTATGTTAAAAATAATTAAAAAATAATAATAATAATAATAAAATATATTCAGTTTTAATGGAAAATAGTCTGTTATTTATTTGCATTAAATTAGTCACCGTTTTCAAGAAATTCGGAGGACAGTATTGGATAATATATTAAGATAATATATAT